TTTCTTCAGATATTTCAAACAGAAACATTATATTATTGAAAGTATAGTCTGGGTGATGAGTAACAATATTTGACCCATGGCTTCTTTCTTTTGCCCCCCAGAAGGGAGATTTTTTTCATCAAGAATGATATGATTCTTACATAGACCTAAAGGTACAGATTTCCTATGGAATAATTGTTACTCATTTACATTGATCCAGATATTTACTATTACACATTTTGCTAGTCTGGGTTCAGTGAGAAGTGGATGCCAAGGTGGGAACAGAAGTATGAGATGTGCTGGGTGAAATACCTGTGAGGGAAAACGTGGAGGCAGCTAAACAGGGAGGCTCTTCCATCTGGGAGAGCCGTCAGATGGAAATGCCCCTCTGGCCCCTGAGACGGAGAGGAAAGGAGGGGGCTGAGGTCTTGGACTACGGTGCAGTTCTAGTAATATTTCAGCGAGTTCAGTGATAAGTCCTCGAGCTCGAATCCCCAGCTGAGGAGCACCATACCGGGCCTGGAGGGTCCTGCTGGGCACCCAGCTGTGCTCAGTCATTGCCTGGACACAGCCTCAGAAGGCGTGGGCTCAGCACCAGCAAGGCGGTGGAACCATAGGATGTAGCTGGAGCCAGTGAATTACACATCCCCAGCAGCCAATCAGAGAGCTGCTTTCTCAGCCCATTGTTTCTGTGAATAGATACTAAACGCTTTGCTGAACATGTGTCTCATTGTGGATTACATCGAATCTAACCCCAGGTAAAGGAAAAGAAATGTTGCATTTCTTAAAAATTTTTTTTTTAATTTTATATTAGAGTGTGGTTGATGGGCAATGTTGTTAGTTTCAGGTGTATAGCAAAGTGATTCAATGATAAATATGTATCCTTTTTTCAAATTCTTTTCCCATTTAGGTTATTACAAAATAGTGTTCCCTGTGCGATACAGTAGGTCCGTGTTGGTTTATATTTTAATTATAGCATTGTGTACATGTCCATCCAAAACTCCCAATCTATCCTCCCCACCCCACACCTCATTTTTCCCCACTGGTAACCATATTCATTTTCTAAGCCTGTGAATCTGTTTCTGTTTTGTAAATAAGTTCAACTGTATCAATTTTTTAAGATTCTACATATAAGTGATATGATATTTGTGTTTCTCTGACTTAATTCACTTAGTTTGATCATGTCCATGTTCTTCCATGTTGTTGCAAATGGCATAATTTCATTCTTTTTAATGGCTGAGTAATATTCCATTGTATATATGTACCATATGTTCTTTATCCATCCATCTGTCTTCTGTAGAGAGAAGGGCAAGCTAATTCTGTGACACATTTTCTTTATGGATATATCAATATTATAGGCCCTTTAAAAATGAAGTTATAAATTAAATGTAGAAACTCGGTTTGCAAATTGCATGGTCATCAGAATGTGTGTCTCAGAATACAAACAAAATTGTGCTGGGCCCTGGTGGCTCAGAGGTTAAAGTGTCTGCCTCCAATGCAGGAGACCCAGGTTAGGGAAGACCTGGGTCGGGAAGATCCCCTGGAGAAGGAAATAGTAACCCACTCCAGTACTCTTGCCTGGAGAAACCCATGGACGGAGGAGCCTCGTAGGCTACAGTCCACGGGGTTGCAAAGAGTCAGACACAACTGAGCAACTTCACTCATTTCACTTGTGTAAAGAAGGCTGGGAGCTTAGGTCCTATTCCCGATTCCTCAGAGTTAGAGTCTTACAGGACAAAAAGGCTTTGGGGAAAAAAAGGACATGTTTGGCAGCTACTTGGAATGTGATGCTTAGGATGAGTCCCTTTCAAGATAAATGGCCCTTGGCATCTGTTATACATTCTGGGTTAGAAGTCTGGTAGAATATCAAGAAGACAAGCTGTGAGGTTATATTGGTCTATAAGGCCAAATTGCTCTTATAGAAAGTTCTGATGTAGTCCTTACTTTTAGGACCCAAACCTCCATGTTCTGGAAGCAGTTATTTTTTTTTTTCTCACTATATAACAGTGTGATCAAAATCAGTGTCAGCTGTGAGCTGTCTTGTTGCCCTAGAGTGACCACTCTGGGGGCCCCCTGTCCACTCCAGTCCCCGGAGAGCAAGCTGCCCCTCCCTCCCACAGGCAGACCACTCACTTCCCCTGCTCTTCACCTCTCACAGTGTGAGGACTCTGGTTTCAAATGTTGGTGGTGGGGCTTTTGCAAATAAGATATAAAGTTGGGTGTAGGTGTTAAGATTTCAAAGGGCCTTTGTTGACATGCTCTTTAAAATAGTTTATCTTCTTAGTTTATCCTGGTAGTTTAAAATATTACATGCTTACTTAAAGAGATGGAAAATGGAAATGGGAACCAGAGGAGTTAAAGAAGAAAATGACCTCACAGAGAGGGGGCTGAGTACAGCAGACACATCAGCTTTGGCCTAAGGATGCTTTGTGTCCACTCGCATCCTCGCACACCCGGGCCTGGCCTGAGCTCGGGGCCGGGAGGCTGTGCTGCATATCACGGATGCAGTCACAGGACATTGACCAAACCTCAGCTTTGTATGTAAATGAGCCCTCAGAACATACGGGTTAGAGATGGCAAATTCAGAAAGAAGCCGTGAGGATGGAGATCAGAAAACCACGCTAAACTTACAAGGTTTAGCGGGAGGTATGATAGTTGGGCGGTGAGATTTTATCTTGTCTTATGGGGCAAGAATAGAGCTATTAAAGGTACTGAGCTAGACCAGATGATTAGAAAAACCAAACTGCAGCTTTATTGAGGTATAATTAACATACCATACAATTCATCCATTTAAAGGACACAATTCAGCAGGTTTTAGCATGTACGCAGAGTGAATTTAGAGTGTAACCATTTACAGTAGTTAATTTTACATTTTCATCACCCTCCTACCCAAAGAGACTTGTGTGCATTAACTATCACTGCTCATTTCCTCCCTTTCCCTAGTCTTAGGCAACCAGCAGTCTATTTCATTTCTCTATAGATTTGCCTATTCTAGGCATTTTATATAAATGGAATCATATAATATGTGGCCATTGAGGTCTGGCTTCTTTCACTTAGCATAATGGTTTCAAGGTCTATCCATACTATAGCATGTAGCAGTGCTTCATTGTTTTTATTGAATTATTGAATGTTCTGTTGGATGGACACGTGTGTGTGTATGTGTGTGTGTGTGACTGTCTGCTGTGCTCAGTTGTGTCCGACTCTTTGTGACCTCATGGACTGTAGCCCGCCAGGCTCCTCTGTCTAGCGAATTTTAGAGGCAAGAATACTGGAGTGGGTTGCTATTTCCTCCTCCAGGGGATTTTCCTGGCCCAGGGATCAAACCCACATCTCCTGCATTGTAGGCAGATTCTTTACTGCTAAGCCTACCAGGGAAGCCCTGGATGGACATATCACATTTTATTTGTCCATCAGTTGATGAGAAAGAAAAATATGTCTACACATAGACTTGTACATACATGTTCATAACAACACTATTAAAACAGCCTGAAAGGAATAATTCAAACACCCATCGACTAATGAATGGATAAATAAAATGTATTTATATAACATTTGGGTTATTTGGGTTGTTCCTTTTGGGCTGTTTTGAATAATGTTGCTCTGAACATGTATGTACAAGTTTATGTATAGACACATCATGGGTATATACCTAGGAGTGGAATTGCTTGGTCATATGGTAATTCTATGTCTAACTTTTTGAGAAACTGGCAGACTGCTTTTCAAGCAGCTGCACCGTTAGATATTCCCACCAGTAAGGTATGGGGGTTCCAGTTCTCCGCCTTGTGGTCAAAACCACCTGTCTTTTTGATTCTGGTCATCCTAGTGCTTGCCAAGTGGTGTCTCATGGTTTTGATTCGTGTTTCTCTGATGGTTGATGACAGTGGAACATCTTTTCATGTGTTTATTCACCACTTGTATATCTTTTCTTTAAGATCAATGTCCATTCAGAGCCTTTGGCCATTTAAACTGGTTATTTTTGTCTTTTTATTTTCAATTTGGAAGAGTTCTTTGTGTAGTCTAATACAGGTTCTTTAGCAGATATATGATTTTCACATATGTTTGTATATTCTGTGAAATGTCTTTTCACTTTTTTTGATGGTGTGTGTACTTTGAAGCACAAAAAATTTAAGTTTTAATGACATCCATTTAATCTGTTTTCTTTCTCTTTTGTTACTTGTGCTTTTGGTGTTATATCTAAAAGGCTGTTGCCACATTGAAGGTCATGAAGATTTATGCCTGTGTTTTCTTGTAAGAGTTTTGTAGTTTTAGCTCTTACATTTAGACCTTTGAACCATTTTTAGTTACTTTCAGTATGCTTTTTATGTGGCTGTCTAGTTGTCCCATCACTATTTGTTGAAAGAATATTCTTGCCTCCATTGAACTATCTTGGCACCCTTGTTGATATGGGTGTCACTTCTTAAGATTTTTTTTCCCGTCACATTAAGATTGTTGCTATTTTAGGTCACTGAATGCTTTATTTACAGGAAGCTACATTTTACAAATGTATTTTTTTTTCTTTACTATGTGTGCATGGAAGAATTGCCTTTAAATAGAACAAACCATGTTAGACCATATTAGGATGAAGAAACCAAAAAGTATACCCATCCAGGTGGAACCAGGGCACTGGATCGGGTGTTTCCCAGACTAGTGCTGCTTATACTTAAACGTGCATTTGAATTCCATGGAGATCTTGTTAAAATTCAGGTTCTCATTTTCTGGTTTGGGTTGGAGCATGAGCTTCAGCATTTCAGACAAGCTCCAGGTGATGCTGGCAATGTTGGTCCTGGAACTTAGCTTCGAGTAAAAATACAAGAGAGACTTTTCAGGGTGATCTTGCTGTTCACTTGTTCTCTGTACTTATTTAAGGTGATTTGGAAGGGGAAAAAATGTTTTGAATTCCATGGTTTTTGTATTTTACTTAATAACCTTCAAGATGAGAAACTACCAGGACCAGAGATGGAAAAAACATTTTCTCCCGTGGCTATGTGGCCAGTCTTCATTATTTTCTATCTTCCTTTTAGGCCTCTGATGATTGTTACTCAGAAGATCACAACCTTGGCATTCCAAGTTCATGACGGTAAGAACAGCAGCCCTCCTTTTGGGTCTAAGAGTGAGCTTGGCCTTCAGAGTTCTTCTTTTCCACTGTATACACAGCCTAAAGTTTAGACAAGGGCTGGCAGATCTTGTTATATGTTGTAAAAAAAAATTTTTTTTGCAACTCAGATTAATCATAGCTTTTTACTTTCCCAGCCGTGACCTACCGCTCCACTGCTGAATCTGTAGCCTTTGCTGAAACATTTGCATCGAGAACAGTGGGTTTTCAGTTTAGCTTTATGATGTTTTAAATTACAGTTAATTTTGTGGTACTCTCTGCCCTTGATTTCCAAATCTGTCCAGAAGAAATGTCATCCTTTGTCCTTTGGGTTCATCTCTGAGAAGCTCAGAAGGTAATAAAAGATGAAACAGCATTGGCTAGTTAAGTTACCTTTTTTTTTTTTTTTTTGGCTTGGAGAATTATCTAATGAGATTGGCCCAAACCTGTAAAAAGCTGGCAAGAGGAAGAATCTTCTGTTTGTCTAAAAACTGAACATTTTCTTCACTTGGGCCTTTCTTGATAATGGCCAGAAAGTATGATTATTTCCAGTGTTAACACTGGGTTCCAGGAAAGGAGGGTGGCGCTTCTAGCCCAGAGGAAGATTTCAATATGGGCTTAAGAGATGCAGGTGCGATTAGTAAGGATGTCTTCTTTGGGTTTGTAGGGCTCTAACAAATGCTTTCCGATTGTTGAAACTTCTTTATGTGTTGACAGATTGGGAAGATTTAGTCCCCACTAGCGAGTCTTCTTGTTTTTCCTTAAAGCTTGAGAACTGATTTAATTTCATTTTGACCCTGTTTATTCCCAGTTCATACTTGGTAATTAGTCATTCTCTAGAGAACTGAGTAATTTTATTCTGAGGATGGAGTCTTTCTACACTGACCAGCTAATCCGGGTCTGCTCAGAACCCAGGGTTTCCCAGGACAGGAGATATTTAGTGCCCCAATTGGCAAAGTCCTGGGCAAAATGGAGTGAGTTGGTCAATATTTTTGTACCTGAGAACCATTTGATTGTAGTTATAGACTCATAGTAGCTCCATAAGTCAATAAGCTAAAATCAATTTAAATGCTGAGATTGCTGGAGTGGGTAGCCTATCCCTTCTCCAGCAGATCTTCCTGACCCAGGAATCGAACCTGGGTCTCCTGCATTACACACGGATTCTTTACCAACTGAACTATCAGGGAAGCCCTCCTTAGATTGCCAGAGCTGGACTATTTGATGAGATCTTAGAAAAAAGTGAGTGTGATTTTGTTTAATCAACATTCCTTCTTGCTTTTGTTTTTAATACATAGGCTTTTTGCCTGAATTTACTTTTAAAAGCATTCTCAGTTTACCCTGTTTTTTGTTTTTAGAATATCCCTTACATGCAGCAAAATGTTTATTTGCCTTTTTTTCTTTCTTGTGTGTGGGAGGAATAAGTAAATTCCAGAAACACTCTGCCTTCTCTTAGGCATGTTTTTGAGTTGTGTTGGTGGTTGTTGACCATAATCTGTCTTAGCTAAATATACAGTTTTAAAGTTGAATTCTTTTGCTTTTAAGATGACAGTTTGATTTCGTTGACTGTAAGTTAACATACGCATTTTCTAGGAGGCACAAGTGTGATTTGGTTGGGAGTTCTGGCATGGGTGCGTTTTAAGAGAAGAAAAACCTCCTGATAATTCTTTGGTGTTTTCCCTGCATTCAGGGTTACATTTCCTGTTTTTTTTTTCCTTTGCAAGAGGAAAGTCCCCTATTCGTTTCCCACTCCATTCCATTCTCAGTGTCTAGCAGGTGTCCGTACGAGCATAATCTGGTTGGCAGTTGGCAAGCGCAGGCAGCAAAGGGAGCCTGTGTCTCATGTAGCAGTGAAAACCTTAGCGTAGTAAGGAGCATATGCAGTGTAGATCCCTGTTCATCCTGGCGAATTAAATAAGGGTAACCTCCGAATCCTCCCCTCTTCCGAAGAACCTATAAAGACTTTCCTCCTCACTCATGTACTTATAAGCAGCCCAACACATATATATGGAATTTAGAAAGATGGTAATGATAACCCTGTATGCAAGACAGCAAAAGAGACACAGATGTATAGAACAGACTTTTGGACTCTGTGGGAGAGGGCGAGGGTGGGATGGTTTGGGAGAATGGCATTGAAACATGTGTATTATCCCATGTGAAACAGATCGCCAGTCCAGGTTGGGTGCATGAGACAGGGTGCTTGGGGCTGGTGCACTGGGATGACCCTGAGGGGTGGGATGGGGAAGCAGGTGGGAGGAGGGTTCAGGATGGGGGACACATGGACACCCATGGCTGATTCATGTCAATGTATGGCAAAACCAATACAATGTTGTGAGGTAGTTAGCCTCTAATTAAATAAATTTAAAAAAAAAGGAAAACAAAGACTCTTTATGACTGATGAAATAAAAATGAATCATTTCTTTCAAATGAGTTTTTATCAATCTCTTTTAGGATGTAGTGATCTACTTCACTCAAAATCTCTTATTTCTAAATGTTTCTTTTCATAGGATTAGGTCGAAGGGCTGCAGATCTTTCCAGCGAGCAACATCGACTTGCTGTAAAGTAAGTTTGATGGTATAGTCTTGAGCCCTTTGGGCATCAGTATTCAGAGCTCTTCCTTGTTTAAATGGATGTAATATTGTTTATGGAATGAAGCTACTGTTGATGGACAATCAGTAGACTGGGTTGTCTACCAGTCTTTGGCTTTTATAAATGGTAAACCATGATAACCTTGTTCATAGGTCATTTTAAATGGATTTGGATGTAGTTGTGGGATAGGTTTCCTCGATTAAAGTGTCAGTGGCTCTGTAATTTTCTTAGTTTCCCAGGATTCTTCTTCACTGCAGTTGTTCTGCTTATTCCAGGATTATTTTTACTGGGCATGTATCTAGAGTTGGGGGGCGTACTCAAGAAACAGTCACTTATCTGTGCCCATCAGTATGATTATGCTGGCATGAAAAAAGATAGGATATAGGGTTGGAGAGAGAAATATGGGCTGGGCAGGAGGAGGAAGGAGGAGGCTAAAGTTTGAAGGTGGATTTTGGCCAGTGTTGTGAAGTAGAGAGGGGGTGGGTGTCAGAGAGGAAGGGAGGCCGTGTAAAGAGGAGAACAGCACTGATAAGGCAGTTGAAATGGCACGTGGGGGAGGGTGGTGCAGCCACGGTGGAGAGTTCCTACCAGAGAGTTCAGTTCAGTCGCTCAGTCTTGTCCGACTCTTTGCGACCCCATTGACTACAGCACACCAGGCTTCCATGTCCATCACCAACTCCTGGAACTTGCTCAAACTCATGTCCATCAAGTCGGTGATGCCATCCAACCATCTCATCCTCTCTCATCCCCTTCTCCTCCTGCGTTCAATCTTTCCCAGCATCAGGGTCTTTTCCAGTGAGTCAGGTCTTCACATCAGGTGGCCAAAGTTTTGGAGTTTCAGCTTCAGCATCAGTCCTTCCAGTGAACACCAGAATACCAGACAGTAGCAGGAGATAACTGGGATGTATGAGAGAGCGTTCCAGCTACATTTCTTTGTTAAGGAATCGAGACTTGGAAGTGATGGAAAAAGAGCCACCGCAAGAGTCTCATGAACTAACTTCTTTGCTAAGCATCATAGAGGTGTAAACGCTAGAGGGCATAATTCCCGTGACTGGTGAGCCATGCCCCGTGAGGAATCCTTTCCCCACAACTCTGTTGTTAGAAGAACATGCCCTTTGGTACTTATTTTTGCTTTCCAACGTTACGATTTTTAATGAAACTACTCAGACAATACCACAGCACTTCATTTATTTTTGGTTGCGAGACATATGGGATGTTAGTTCCTGGACCAGGGATCAGACAGGCACCCCCTGCATTGGAAGTGCAGTGTCTTAACCACTGGACCACCAAGGGAATCTGAGCCTGCCCTTTAAAATGCCATTAACACACTAGACACAACTGGTCTCTGCAGAGTGTTTTCCTGCCACTACCCTTGTCTGTTGGCCAGGACGTCATGCCTGGAGGCCAAAGCAGACAGGAGACTGCTGCCGCAGTAGTTTTGTGTGGCCTCTTCAAGTGGAAACCAGTTCCACCCATCATTTGTTTTGTATTTATTTTGGCAGTTGGGAGGGAGTTTTCCCATCTCACACCATCTCGACCAAGTCACATTAGGCCGGGCTCCCACCCTGCCTGATGTTTATTACCCTCATTTTCTCGGGTGAACATGGACAGACAGCTGAGTTTGCCCAGAAAGAATGTTTGTTCCCCAGCCTCAAGGCTGCCTTTGTCCTGGCCTGGCCCTCGTGTAGAGCTGCAGTTGGCCAGCAGAGGGCGCCATGCAGTGCTGTGCCGTCTCTGAGCCACTCACCTCCTTAAACTTCCTTGCAACTACATTTCTCTCTTAGGTGGGTTTTTAAAGAAACAGAACAAAGAAAGAGCCTGTAGCATTTAACTAGCTACAGAGACACCTGTCTTTACAACGGGCATATTTGCAGATACGAAAGAAAAATCAAAGACTGAAGACTCTTCAACTTTTCACTTTATTTTCGCAGAGCAAAACCCTCCTTTTTGGAATATGTGAGCTACCTTCTCAACTTCATGAGTATCATAGCAGGCCCTTGTAACAATTTCAAGGATTATATAGCCTTCATTGAGGGGAGACACACACACATGAAGTTGCTGGAAGTCAACTGGAAGGAAAAAGGCTTCCACAGTCTGCCAGAACCTTCTCCCACTGTAAGTTTTTTTTTAGTGCCAAGTATTTATCCAGAGGTTTAAAAAATACAGCTTTGCTGCCAGGGCTGACGGTCACTTTTAATTGTTCTAATTAAAAAGCCAAACAAGTTTCCAGAAAGCTTAGCCCATAACTTTTCCCCCCTGTTTAAAATATCAACATTGGTATTTATTTGCAGGAGTTCTCCCTGTTGGAGCAACAGAAGTTTATTTCCCAGAGAAGCTCATTGGCTGGAAATATTACAGCAATTAATCTACTTGCCAACCAGCCAGTATTTACTGCCTATGATGTACCTACAATGGTGCTAGTTAATACCTTCAAATGTGTCTTTATGAATAGAAATTCATAGACAGCCAAAGGATACTATGTCATAAATGGTGAAGGGGGAAAGAGTGGGAACCAAAATAAATGTGCTTTTTATTGCAGAGTCTTACTATGGCAAGGGAAACCAGCTTTATACCAGCATGCCTTATAGTCAGTAAGTTTCATCTTATTGACTTGTAGACAGTTGAAGGTGTCTTTTAGAAATAATGTTTTAATTTGAAGTATATTAATCTCAAATTAGTCAACATGAGGATAATCATTGAACTTTGCAAATCTGCTGAACGTATCCAGACCAGATATCCTATATTTAAGGAAAATTTGCAATTAATGGAAAGAATGAGAAACGTTGGAAAGGGAGAAATTGAGGATAATTTAAATATTTATAAAATGCCAGTCAGGCAACATTAAGTATTTGAAAATTTAAATGCTGATGAAACATATGTTTTCTGAGAGTTTTGACACAGTCAGGCCCTCTGCAGTTTATGGTGAATCAGAGACCTTTACGACAGAATCGAGGAGGGAGGTCACTGGCTGGGCGTCATCTGAGTAACCACAGGCGCTTATATGCAGGATCCGTTACAGAAGTTCTGTGTCACATTATTTGGAAAATAATATTATCAGAGAGTCTTCAGGTCACCCTCCAAGGAGACTCTTGCATTTTTGGGCACAGAGAACAGGAAGCTCTGAACTTGCATTTTGGCCAAAGACACATGGATGTGAGGGGCTGGTGCACGCTAGTGGTGAACAGTTAGTTAAGCGTGATGTGCTTTACTGCGAGATGCTGGGAATCCGGCATTGTTCTCAGTTCCTAGTAAACAGTCCTGCGCTGAAACCCCAAGCCACCCTGTGAGGCAGGCGCTGTTACAAATAAAAGTAGTCTCTTTTATAAAGTTGGGGACTATAATTCTTTGGGTGTTAGCGGACATCCCAGGATGTCAGGGGATCTGGGCAAAATGACTCCATCCAGGGGAGTTGAAAACTTCAGTACATCTCAACCCCAGAGCAGACTGCATGGAGACCATCCAGAAAGGGTTCGTAAGGCTGCCTGCCTAGCCCTGGCTCAGACATGTAGCCACGTGCCCGGAATCCTTCCTAACCAAGCCTCTGTGCTCCTTGCTGGTGACTCAGGCCCATTTCCTTGGCTCTGCCGGCTGCGGGACCAGCAGGCCAGTGGCTCTTTCTTTCTGATGGAAGATGGCCACCCTGTAATGTTACTGCTTTTGCATATGTTTGGGGGCTTCTCTAATGGCTCAGACGGTAAAGAATCTGCCTGCAACACAGGAGACCCGGGTTCAATCCCTGGGTCAGAAAGATCCCCTGGAGAAGGAAATTGCAACCCACTCCAGTATTCTTGCCTGGAGAACCCCATGGACAGAGGAGCCTGGTGGGCTTGCAAAGAGTCAGACCCGACTGAGCAAGTGGTCACTCACTTGGGTAACAAAACCACCTGACCTTTGATGGTAGAATGTGCTGGTAAGAGTTTTCTTTTTTTTTAGATCCATCCCTTCCTGGGGTGTCAGAGGCATATTCTGCATCTAAATATAGCATGTATGCCCATCATCTGTAACTGTGCCCTGAGGAAGAATGCCCTTCATCTAGAGACGATTACCGCAGCAGCCATGGAGCAGCTTTATTCTTAGCATGCCTTTGCTGAAATTGTTTTCCACGCACCAGTGTCTTCTGAATAGTTATTCAGTCTTCTCCCCCATTTCCAGGGAGCCGTGATGCACAAGCTGTGCATGACCTTGGTATCTCTCCTTTTGTTTCTGACGCTGACGAAGACCTTCCCTGTCACCTCCCTGGCTGACGACTGGTTTGTTCATGAAGCAAACTTTCTGACCCGACTCTGCTATTTATACGTTGTCATGCAAGCCTCCAAGCCCAAGTATTACTTTGCCTGGACATTAGGTGAGTTTGCTGGAGGACGCTGAATACATGAGGAAAAAAATGCTACTCCTTGGAGGGCTTGGCCAGAGCAACATTTGGATCACTTAATCCAAAAAAGAAAAAGTCTGGTGTGTAATGGAAGGCAGTTGAGCCAGGAATCCTGACTCTGTACTTTCCAGGGTAACCCTCCTCTCAGTTATCTGTGATAAGGAGAAAAGAAGTCCTGGCTATTGTTTAAACCCAGTGCTATTAACAGATGTCAAACCTTGGAAGCTGCTGGGCCTACCCATCAAACTTGGCTATTTAGGGCAATGGAAAGTTAGGGGAAAATTCCGGAATGATCTGGCTTTCTTGTAATTTTTCTGGGTTGTCTGTAATACAGGATACATGCCGAATTTTACCCATAAGTGTGGTAGTTTAGGTTGAACTTTTTAAGAAATGGTTGGTTAAGCTTTATGCCTTAGAAAGAAGCTGATTTCAAGTGATTTTTTTTTAAGGTAGAAAGTTCCACTTAATTGGGTATTATCACACTTTTATTTTTCCCCTGTGAGGTAACTTTAGTCAATATTAAGCATTTATATCTTTCCTTTTAAAGACTTTTACACCAGAAAAGTTTAAACCTTTGCTAAGGTGAGCAATAAACCTTCTACATACCAAGAATGGTAAAGTATTTTGATAAAGCATGGTAACCATAGGGAATATCTATTTCACATTTGGAAGACTTTCAGGAAGGGAAGTTTAACACCTTAGCTGCAAGTGACGTGGGGGCCTGATGTCAGGAGCAGTGACTTGGTTTATGAAGTCAAGTAGATTATTAAACTCCGTCCGTAGCAGTTAGACCATATTACATAAGGGTACAGCCCTTCACTGAATTCTCTCATTTCATACTCTTAAGTTTTTAGCACCTGAATCAAGTTTGTAACTACTGATTTATTTATTTATCATTTTTTATTGTGGTAAAATATATGTAATGTAAAATTTGCCATTTTAACCACCTATAGTGTGTAACTTAATGGCATTAAGTTTGCTCACAATAATGCAATCATCACCACCATCCATCTCCAGAACTTTCTCCATCACCTGAAACAGAAACTCTGTCCTTTCAACAAAGCAGTAATCCCCCATTCCTCTTTCTTCCCTGCTCCTGGTCCAAATGATTTTTTAAAGGTCACAGTGTTCAGAGACAAGTGCAGTCCAGTGCAGAATATATGTCACTCTTGACCAGAGAGAGATGTAAGAGCTTTTCCAAAATTTGCTGTGTGGGAAAGTTTGTTCCCGGTCCCATTCAGTTGAATGCAAGGAGTTTTTGTTGAGTACCAGACTGTGTGCTATGAGGAACTCAAAGGTAGGACATCTCAGCCCTCAAGGTCATTGTACTCGGTGGGGCCACAGACACGTATGCCCACCAGGCAATACACCCCTAGAGCTGTGACAGGATGACAGAGGAGATGATGTGTATGGACTGGTCCTTGGGCAAGGCCCCCAGAGTCTCCTTGTATCTGATTGCCTTTCCTGCAGATGCTTTATTACTGAAGAGTCATTTCCGTAGTAGGTAGGCATGATGCCTCCTATGGATGGAGCTCTCCTGGGAACACTGAGCGTGTTTTTCTTTGTTAAGTAGACTTTTCACCTTGCTCCAACCTGGAGAGGGTGTGTGATAGAATCTCTCACTCCTGTCCTAACTTCTGCTTCTTCGCTTTTCTTCCCTTTCTTTCCCTCTTCTTCCTCCGGTTCCTGCTCCCATATTCTGTACCCCAGGGCTTATGGGCTGGCTTCTGGACTAATCGGCTCCTGATTTAAGGAGGAAAGAAAGGCCATTCTGTGGCCTCGTGGGGCAAGTCTAACACGAGGTGGGTTGTGCTGGCGGGAGTCTGGGTGGGGAGGCGGTTACAGGGCACAGGGGTGTCCAGCCTCACTCTGTTCTTTGTGGAGTGACCCCAGATACTTAGAGAAGAGAAATAACCCTTCCCATGGCTTGCTTTCGCTGTGGACTTACCTCTTTGTCTTTTCTTCCCCACCACCCTTTCTTCATTGTTTTTGGTAGCTTCAGTAGAAACGCTTCCTTAATTTGCATGGCCTCAATTTGAAGTTTGTAATAGTTTAGATTGCATGGGTTGGTCTGAAATTAACCTTTGTATTATTTATGAGTAAAGATGCAATGAATAGTGTAACAGGGAATATTTAAACTGCTTAACCGAATAATTGTTTTATCCAGCTCCTTCAAACACCATTTCCATGTAATTGATGTACTAATTATACACAGTTATAAATTTAATCCTTAAAGCTGGCCTCTTGATGAATCTCAGCTGACTTGCACTGTGTACGTCTAGATGTAGTTACCGTTTCTATCGAAAGAATAGAGCTGTTTTCTTTGGACTTAGCATTTGAGGCTAGTGTTTTTTCTCCTACTAATGAGTACTAATTAGTGAGGCTCAATTATAGCCCAGGCTCTGTTCTAAAGATAAAAGATGCCCAAATAGGGGTGTCCAGCGAATTTATCTTCCGTTATATGTTAGGGCTGTGTGGAATGCAAGTGAAGCCAGTTTTGGATTGGTGAACTTAGACATTCTAACTGCTCTAAGGCAAGAACAGTCTTGGATAAAAGGTGGCAGGATGCACTAAGGGGAGCAGGGAATTCCAACCACGTCTAAATGCGGCAGTTCTGAGTCACCTCTTCTGGTTCTTACATTTATCTTTCAGATGGCTCCTAGCCAATATCAGGCTGGTGGAATCAGAATTTTACCACCTGAGTGATCTTTTGTTTTTTTTTTTTGATGTGGACCATTTTTGTAGTTTTTATTGCGTTTGTTACAGTATTGCATTGGTTTTATGTTTTGGTTTTTTGAGCCGAAGGCATGTGGGGTCTTGGCTCCCCACCCAGGGAATCGAACCTGCATTGGAAGGCGAAGTCGTAACCACTGGCCCACCAGGGAAGTCCTGCACGCCTGGCGGGACTGCGTGATCTTAATGTTAACGTCACTCAGCTTTAGCTGCCTTACTAACAAGATGGGGGTGGCAGTAATAAGAATAATGATGATGGTGGCAGCTAACCATTCTTGAATGTTGACTTCGGCCAGGCCCTGTATTATGCACTCTACATATATTCAATTTGGTTTAATCCTTTCCACATCCCTTTAAAATAGGTACAGTGTGGTACAATAGTAATATAGGTACAATGTTATGACATCCACGCATGAGAACAGTTTCCTAGAAGTTAGACAGCTCTCCCAAGGCTGTGAATTGACCCCGCTCCCAAGTGGAGAAATGGGAACCCAAGAGATCACCGTTCCCACGACGATGGTAGTGTGAGCCGCCATCTTCACACCATTGTGAGCGTTAAATGAGAAATGTCTGTGGGATGCTTTTCAGAATCCTGGGGAAATATTTAAGGACCAAAAAAAAAAAAAAGTTGTTATTCTTCTGTGTGTGTTAGATCTGAGGCTGGAGCCGGGACAGGGCATGCCTGGATTGCTGTGCTGGTCCCAGCACCGTCAGCCCAGCCCTCGGGAGCGTGTCCTCCCCTGGTTTTGTTTAATTCTGTGCTTCACTGTTTGTGCCCACACAGTGTAAATTCGTGGTCTCTTAGCTGCTGCACCCTGGCTGTGTCCTCCTCCTTTTCCACTGAATTTCTCTCCAGTCGGCATGGGAGGAAGAGATTTCAGGACTCCTTTCTTTCCTCCCTTCTCTGAAAGAAACCAGATATTTTACAGTAAAGCTAAGCGCAAGATAAGCAGTTTTAAGTCATCAACAATGCCAAAAGGAAAGCAGGCCAACTTCGAGGGGATGGTTTTTCTTCCCACTGGCCCTTCAGAAGTCCGACGTGAGTTGGACCTGAACTCCCCTAGAAACGGAATGACCAAAGCTATGGGAAGGGTTTCTCTGACATCTCCCCCAGATCTCAGGCTCTCCAACTTCATTAGTTTGATTTTTTATGTTTATAGCAGCTTTATTCATAACTGTCAAAAGTTGGAAGCAGGCATCAAGTAAGTACATTTGCTGCTTTTTTATTTGTTCTCTGTAGAGTGTTTTATTAAGTTAAACAAGCTCTCTTCTCTGCACAGGTTTAGGGGTTTTGATGAGGGGATGTTGTTTTTCATTAGGAAAAGATGAATTCTATGGAATGTCATCTCTGTATCTGTTAATATGACCATATTTTTCCTTTTAATCTGTTAAAAAGCTCATTTGATTATTTTTAAGGAACTATTCTAACAGTAAACTTGAAAGAAGATATCTTGGCCATCATAATACAAGTGTGTTGATTTCATCAGGTCTCTCTTTGAGTGTAAAAAATATCATCAAGGAACTGATTAGAAATGAAATACAGCAAGGGGACGGTTTCACAGAGTTCAGTGAAGTGAAGTGAAGGTGGACACAGGAGCCTTTAGACTGACTTTGTGGGTAGGGTGGCTTTGGTCATTGCATCCACGTGTGGCCTCTTTGGCAGGCTTCCCAGGTGGACTCATGGTAAAGAACCCGCCTACCAATGCAGAAGACATAAGAGATGTGGGTTTGATCCCTGGGTCAGGAAGATCCCCTGGAGGAGGGCGTGGCAACCCACTCCAGTCTTCTTGCCTGGAGAATCCCACGGACAGAGGAGCCTGGTGGGCTACAATCCATGGGGTAGCGAAGAGTCGTACACTGACTGAAGTGACTTCGCATATATGCATGTGGCCTTTATGGCAGCTGCCTCCAAATTCACAGCTCTGGTACTATTCTTTATCATAAGTTCTAAATTGTTCTAACTGTATCTTGGCCATCCCAACTGATATCCCTACTGATGTGTCATGTTTAACATGTCCAGAATGAGCTTCAGTTTCTCTTTCAGAGCTGCTTCTCTTCCAGATGTGATGCTATCGATAGCCTGTCTCCTACCATCTTTAATGACAGCTCTTGGATGGAGTTCCCTCTCTTCTGAGCTTATATGTAAATAATTCCACCTTTTTCCCTTTCACCCCTTATATCTAGTTGGCCTCTAAATCTTGCTGTTTCTTTGTTTTGTTTCTTCATTTCTTTTTCTCATTCTGCACATTCTGTGAGCATCTTCCTTCTTACTTAGCAGGTGCTCATGAAATGCTAGTGAATGAATAGAAATGAATGAATAAAAGTTGACGTCACCCAAGAGCCAAAACTCTTTTAGTAGTACCAGGAGATCCTGTAAATTTATTTTGGTTTCTTACTCAAGGAAACTGCAGCCATCTCTCTTACTCTTAAAGCTAGACAGACATTTAGTTATCTTTGAAAGCAGCAATATGACTTTTGTCCCACATCCTAATGTGTTGTTTTAAAAACCATAGCTGATGCAGTGAATAATGCAGCTGGCTTTGGGTTCAGCGGAGTGGATAAGAATGGAAATTTCTCTTGGGATCTGCTTTCTAACCTAAACATCTGGAAAATTGAGGTGAGTGTATCGTGCTTTTGAATGACGCTGCCATTGTGAATACAGCAAACGGTGTGCTGTGAGTGTGATATACATGGGAGGTCCTCGTTAGTGTCCAGGAAAAAGCCACTATCAGGGAATGCTGGCTCCAGCAGTCTCTGAAACATTCTGTATCTCAGAACTCTTTTCCTTATATATATATATATATATATATATATATTTTTTTTTTTTTAAGGTACCTACTTTCTTGGCATTATTAATGGTTCTAGTAATAATGACACATGGAAAGCCTGCCAAAGAGCCAGGAAAATCTTTTTGTTGTATCAACCAGAAAGTACATTTTCATGTCATTTTCTCTTGGTGACATTCTCCTTTCCTCAAAGATACAGACTAGCATTGTATTGCCAGTGCTCTCTGGGGTTCCTTTGGAAACATTTATAATGCATCTGCTTTTAAGAATTGCAACAGTGCGCAGCTTTTAGGCCTCTAGAATTAGAGTGGTGTTTTCTCTTTCGCTGGCTTTGTTCTTGGACCACAGTTCTCGGTATTATCATTTCCATCTCTAGAGGTGATCTCTGTGGGGCCCCATCCTTCTTGATATCCTCAGCGTTGTCATCCCTCAGAGCTGAAGGGAATGCCAAGCCTCTGGCTGTTTTCCTCCTTGCAGCCGGAGGGCATGGTTCTCAACACACAGAAGTGCTGGTTCTCCAGCCAAGAGACCCACGGTTGCTGTTGGCTGTGCCACTGGAGAGTCTAGGCAGAAAGAGGATGTCCGTGTGGGGCAGGAGACCCGGGAGGCGGAGACTGACCCCCCGCCAGCCACATTCGGTGGGAGCAAGGCCTCAGGGAGGCCTGGGGGACAGCCTCCACCTTCTTGATACCTGGGGCTTCTCCTCATTTGAATGGACACGATCCAGCCTCCAGAACGACCTCTCTCTCTTGTTTTTCTATATAGATGATGTCAGAGAGCAACGTGTTATGACTTTCCTCCCCTTTCCCACTAAAATTCTCGTCACCCTCAAAACTCTCGGACCGCGGCTGGCTGCTTTGGCATGCTGAGGGTAAATGGGCCTTCAGGGTGGGTCCCCTGGACCTCCGGCTGCCCACCAACCCCTCCACTGCGGCCCTGAGGACACAGCCGTCTCACTGTGCGCGTGTGTTCTGGGGGATGCTGAGTCATGTGTTTATGATGATAGAACACCAGGAGGAGAAAGTTTGTATTTCCGGTGAAGCTGATATACAGCCAGGAGCTAAGTAGGAGCACCAAGGAAGTCTGCTTGAATTTAGGCACTTTTGGATCTGTGTGGATAGCATTTCATTAGCCACGGAAGATGGCTAAATGGATAAATAAAACTCCTCAGGGCAGCGGTCCTCACCGGGGACCAGTTTCGTGGAAGACACTTTTTTCCTGGACCAGGGGCAGGGAATGGTTTTAGGGTGATTCAAGCTCATTACGTCTATTGTGCGCCTCACATCTATCATTATTACATCAGCTCCACCTCAGATCATCCGGCATTAGATCCTGGAGGTTGGAGACCCCTGCCTTAGGGTTTTGAAACTAAAAGCTCGTAGTAGAGAAATCTGTCTGTCCATCCTTGATGCATTCTCCCTCTTCCTCCATTCCTTCTAAACTTATTACATTAGGCCAATGTGTGGCCTAAAATTTTTCTTATGGTTGAAACAGAAAACAGTGACATCTACATTTTCCAACTTCATTAGGAATTCTAGTTCTTAAATGTTTGCTATGTGCTTTCTACACCCAGCCTTTATTAATTTTTTGTTTTGGAATTAGGAAACCCAATTTATGACTTATTTCGAATCTTTCTGCATGGTTGACCTACCTGCGTCATGCCGGCGGGGTGATATTTTCTTGTTTTCTTTTCTGTATTGTGACTCCTTCATGCGTGAAATCTCCTTACTATTCTAGATACAATTGGAAGCATTTGAACCTGTGTAGCTCTTTGCAGAATAACTGCACCAGACTGACCTAGTTTACAGCTGGCCCCAGAGTGAAACGATGAGAATTGAATTCAAGGTGTCTCCGGAAGGGCCCTAAATTCACAGGATGAAGCTTTTCCTGTGGCAAATCCCATTTTAGAGGGTTTAGTTTTAAAATTCAGATGACTTGGGTTTTGTGTTTAACCGGAATGGAAGGAAAACCCACAAAACATTCTTTCGGTCATCCTATAATTTGAAAATAGATTTTGAGAGAAATTGAGACTCTGCGAGCCAAGTTTTAGTTGCAAAGGAAATCTTGTGAAGCCCATAAAGTCTGACTGTGTACACTGGAGCAGCTGAGCTGCCCCTGAGTCAGTCACCGTGGAAATAGCACATCTAGCCTGCCGCCAGGGAAATTCTGGGGAGGACTTTCCGTTTCTGGGGATATTTAAAGCTAATGATAGGTGTTATTTTCTCCTTTCTAGACTGCCACAAGTTTCAAAATGTACGTAGAGAACTGGAATATTCAGACAGCTACTTGGCTAAAGCGGTAAGGAAAACCAAAATGACCTTGTTACTCATGGCACTGGGATATGTTTAGATGGGCAGCATTAGATGAACAGCCGTAGCCTGCTGGGTCGTGTCAGCTGGCACTTTTGTTTGGTATTAACATCTATGCTGTGTCAAGAAAAAAGCAGGAATAATCTGAGAAGGTCACAATGTAGTATATTTATTTCACTGTACCAAATACTTGCTAATGCCATTCCTGTGTACCAGGTACTCATTTAATCCTCATGGCAATCCCATGAAGTGTTGGTACTTCTTATCTCCATTTTGCAGATGAGGAAAGTGGGGCACAGAGGGTTTGTGTAACTTGCCCAAAGTCACACAGCTAAGGAGTAATCAGCATGAGTCCAGGACATCTCCAGAGCCAGGCTCTGAACCTCTGTGATACGCTGCTGCTTACCCAGAGGAGAGTCCACTGCTCAGACGTCAAGGCGGGGCAGTGTCAGCATCATGTCACGGAAGACTGCTGTTTATCTGTAGCATTGAAAACTTTATGGTACCCCCCACATGTTGATGCTTTTTAACTTTGTATTTTTGGTATTTCTCTGTCCTTTTATTTTTCCACCCATTCCAAAATTAGAAATATTACTACTTATGGAACTAATGACATGCTATCCTTGAAGCAACAGACACTAGCTCATGAATATTCCTATTACATGAGTACAGAGAGAGTATAAAAATATTAAACTGTCAGTTCTACTGTTTTTGATAAGTAGCATTTTTCATCTTGTTAAAACATTGGGGTCAAAGAAGAGACAGTGTATAACAGTTCTACCAGAGTAAACTCATGCAATTAATCTGAACATGCATGTTTTGAAAATTTGCCCCTAAGGTATTGCTATTAATTTTGTGAATCATTTTAGCATAAACCTCTATTTCTGTGTATTGAATGACCCCAATGTATTGAGAATCCTATAGTCTCCGCTAGGAGCTTGTTCTCCATAAACATTTTTTATGTGAACATATATAAAAAATAAATTTTTTTAAAAGTCATTTTAGAAAACAGAATATTTCATTCATACATGAAGATACAGAGAGGTAAGAAATAAACATCCATGAAAAGTACTGCTCGTTTAAGAAGAAATATCAAGGTGGAATTCCATCCTTCTTTCTTTCCTCAAATGCATTCCCTCTCTTCCCATAAAGAGAAAGCCGTGATCCTTTGGTTTTAACTCGGTTACTTTTGACTGTTGGGATTTATTTTTCATCTGGGCTGTCTCATTTAGGAAGCCATGAAGTTGCTCCCCAGGGTACCACTGTCAATCTTTAGACTGGATTTGGGAGGAAGTCCCCTGTCACTTCATTTTAATAAACTACCAAGAAGCCGGAGCTCTCCAGGGTATTTCCTGGCAGTTCCTGGATTCTCATAATGCACTCACTCTTGAAGGCAAATTCATGGATTGGAATCCGATGGACACTGAGAACTGAAGCGGTCCTGTAACGGACGTGCTGATTTTGTGGAGTCATGGCCAGGAGAGATGAGAAGGCTGCAGTATTTTGTTGTTGTTGTTGAAGGTGGCATTGGGCCCAGTGTGGAAAGTAAATTATTTCCACTAAATGAGGACGCTTATCTGGTTCTAAATGTTTTTAAAGCCAATGGCACTTTCCAGTCTGAAAGATCCCCTCGAGAAGGAAATGGCAACCCACTCCAGTATTCTTTCCTGGGAAATCCCATGGATAAAGGAGCTTGGCGGGCTATAGTCCTTGGGGTCACAAGAGAGTCAGACACGACTCTCAGTGTTTAAGAAAACTAGAGTTCGAGGCTGCTTGGACTGCACTGCAAGTCGCTGACGAGGGTTAGGCAGGCATGCCATCAATGGATCATCCAGTGATTTCTGCATGATTGGATCCGAACAGATGCAGGTGTCGGTGAAAATTCCTGATATGTTTGACCTGAGGCTCATTGTGCCTTCCTGTCTCTAGCGTGTGCTACGAGCGGGTCCCCTGGCACCCCACAGTGCTGACCTTCATCCTGTCTGCATTATGGCACGGTGTCTACCCTGGGTACTACTTCACCTTCTTAACTGGAATCCTTGTCACTCTAGCAGCCAGAACGGTAAGCTTCCTTCGGTTATGGGGTGTTCTCCTTAGTAATCAGATGCCTGTGTGTCTGTTGTCTTTTAGGTCCCAGCAGGTTGGGGACCATGGTGGGAGTGATGTTTTGAGAAATCAACAGAAGGTTTCCCATTAGAGAAATATTTCAGTATATAGGAACTTATGGTCATAAAATGGTTAACTGTTTTATTTTCATATTACTTACAGGGAGTGTTTGCAAAACAAGAGGACTCTTAGGAACAATGTTTAGTACCTTAAGAGATGAAAATATTTTTAATCATTAAATGCTACTAATTACAGGTGACTAACATTATCCATAGAGGAGGAAATGACAGCCCACTCCAGTGTTCTTGCCCAGAGAATCCCGTGGACAGAGGAGCCTGGTGGGCTGCTGTCCACAGGGTCACACAGAGTTGGACACGACTGAAGCGACTTAGCATGCATAGCATAGCATCATTATTCATTCATGGAGATTCCATAAAACTTTGTTTTGCTTATACTATACATAATGTCTCTTCATAATCCTACACCTAAAAATAATTTGATCTCTGAGCAACTGTAAAAATTGCAGCCACAGGAACTGTTCTCTTAAAGATTTCTCTAACCTCTCGTGTTTAATCCAATTGAATTAAGTTTGTGTAAAGTCCTTTGTGAGTTTTATAAATTTAGTTCTCTAGGTTTTAGGAGTAGCCTTCAGTTTGTCCTAGACTGTTCCTATGATTTGCTGGGTGCAGAGCAAGAATAATGACAGAATTTAAAAAAAAAAAATGACTGTCCTCAAAAATAAGGTGAACATGTACAAAAGTAATTACAAGTCTGTGTATTCTGTCAGATACAGAGCTTTGCATTTTATTTCATTTCAGTACTTGATACTGATTCAGGTGCCAAGAGCTTTCAATGAGATTTGTTGAGCTGGTATTTTAGATGTGGGTTTAGGAGCCCTAACAAAGCTATTCACTGATTCTTTTACTTTTTAAAAATATGTTTATTGAGTGCCTCCTGCATGCCAAGTGCTGTGATGGTTACTGGAGGAAAAAATGGAGAACAGAAAGGATATGGTCCCTATTCCTGGTCTGCTGCTGAGTATAGAGACATAACATCTATTATAAACGGGAAACAGCTCATATAAATGCATCACTTCTTCCTGTTTGTTCAGTGGAGAAAGTGGGTAGAGTAGGATTTCTTTCCCATTTCTTTCAGCTACTGACTCACTGTTGAATTCATCTGTTCAATTAATATGTCAGGAGCCCTTTTATATGTTAGTAGGTGCTGCGCTACTGCAGGGAACAAGAGTTCTTCACCCATGGAGTTTTTATCAGGTTGGCCAAAAAGTTCACTCGTGTTTCTCCTTAAGCACTTGTAGAAAAATTTGTATGAAACTTTTTAGCTGACCCAATATTTTATTTATATAAATGTTTGTTGTGTGAACATAGGTAATTGATTATTCTGATTAGCACAGTTTAAAGTTTCATAGCAACCCAGTTCAGTATTGTTGCCTGGGAAATCCCATGGACAGAGGAGCCTGGCTGGGCTACAGTTTTAATACAATCTCTTACATGCTTCTCAGTACTGCCCATGGATGGACCTCCAGCCTCTGTCTAGAGGATCTTAGAGCCAAGGAAGAGTCCTTACCCTCCCAGGCAGCCCTGGGATGCCTTTCCTGCTTTGGGGCTGACCTGCCTTTAAACCAGCCATTGTTTCAACTCTGTCTTTGGTTCTGGCATCTGGAAATCGGGTGTCTCTCTGGAAACAACTGTGTCCAAAGACCTACAAATCCTTTGACACCCAGCATTTTTCATCTCAAAGAGTTTTGTTTCCTTGTCTGTAAAATGGGCATAATGATGCTTACATGATAGACTTGTTGGGAGAATCAGAGATGATACCCATAAAGAATTTGCACAGGCTTGGCACGCTGTAAGCACTCAATAAATGGCAGCTCTCATTATGACACTATTATATTATCACCGTTATTCAAAGGAAGGAAGTAAGACACAGTGCAGAGACTTTTCTACAAGGATATACATCACAAAATTGTTTACAAAGTTTCCCATAATTAAAATTAGTATTTACTGACATAGAAAAAAGTTCATGCTATGTTGCTAAGTGAAAAAACAGGCTAACCATCTAGTGATGCCATTGGAAATGTAAGTATGAATATGTATGAATAGAAAGGAGACTTGAAAGGGTTTTTCAACAATGCTTTTCTCTGGGAGATGTTAAAAAAAATCTGACTCTGCTTAGTTGTTCTTTAAACATTTTTCCACAGTGAATGGATGTGTACTTTTTAAAAATAACAGGAAAAACTATAATGGTATTTTTGGTTGAAAATAGAACTCAGATGGTTTGGTAGTTTTTATTTCCTGTGTTCCTGAGGTGAACTACCTGCATGCATGGAATAAAAGTGTTTATTTTTTGCACCCCGCCCCCCACGACTTCCTTGGCGAGCAGGTGAGGAAAAACTGCAGACATTACTTCCTTTCTTCAAAAGCCCTCAAGGTTGCTTATGATATAGTCACCTGGGCTGCCACTCAGCTGGCCGTCTCTTACACGGTGGCCCCCTTCGTTATGCTGGCCGTGGAACCCACCATCAGCTTGTACAAGTAAGTTTCCCTTGTTCCCGACTGCTCTGTAGAAAACTCGTCTGGTAACCTCGGTGTTTGACTTAGGAGCTGGTAAACTGAATCAGCCAGTACTGACAGTTTCTATGTACAGTCTCGAGGGGAAAATGTCTAGAGAAGGCTTTAGGAGCAAGGATGCCAACAAATAGCAATGCAGATGGAGCAGAGTGGCCCTTGAGCCATTCCTAATATAAGTAAGGGATGCTTATGGTAGTGAATCCCTACGGGATGTGTCTGGATTACAAGCTCAGAGGCTGAGTTCACTGCCCTTACCTCTTTTTCCTGGGGTTAGGCTCTTTTGGAGGCCTTGGGGCACCCCAAGAGGGACAGAAGCAGCCAGGAGCTGGATTCACCCCACAGACGAGGCCTTTAGGGAAAGGGTGTCAGCCCCTTGTATTCAAACACCAGCCCTCCAGCTGAACCGCAAACCTCTTCTTGATTACTTTTATTGTTTCACTCCTCTGTTGAATTAGTCATATTTCTCTACTCTCAGAGAAATGGTTGTGTGACCTCTGGCAAGTTATTAACCTCTTTTACCTGTGTTTTCTCAACTGTAAAATGAAGGTAAGAATAGAATTCATCTCAATACACCTTTGTCAGGATTGAATGAGGCAGACATACAAAGAACCCAGCCCAGTGTTGGACGCTGTAGTCTGTGCTGAGTAAATACTGACTTGTATTGTTTACTGATTTGCAGGGACTTCTGTAGATTAAGTTTGGGCCATAGCTACAGTCAGAAAAGTGGCTTGGAAATAGACATGCAAACGTGCCTTACTGTACATCAGAGACTGGATACACTGGTTAGGAGTGATCAAAGATACTCTCACTGTTCAGTATAGGTATCAGAGTCTAGAGGTAGGATTTTTTGTTTTTTCCTTTTCAGGTTGAAGTCTGTTTCTATAATTCCAATTAGGTCATAGGAGTTATGTCTAGATAACATGGAAGTTGAACTGGTTTATATACAGCTTTTTCTAGACAAGGGATGCCGCATTAGTGGAAAAAGAATTATAATCTTCAGCCAAAAAACCCCTCAGTTCAGCTGCTACAGAGATAGGAGCCATGAGCTGTCCCGCCTACAGGAGGCTCCCTCTTCCCAGAGGTACCTGCCCCCCGAGCCTGCACCATCTTGGTTTTACCACCTATACCCTCTCCCTCCGAGCAGCCCTACAAGCTCACAGCTCCATTTTCCTTTCCCTTTCCCAGTGCCCTCCAGCCAGCATTTGCCCTTTATTATCTTGTACATTTTAACACTCTCTGAAGCAGCCTTTAAGTCCAGCTGAGCTATCCTCCTGGGCTGTCCGAGTTTGGGGCTTAGGTGCTAATTGTCTTTGTTAGTGATCTGGTTACAAAAAGTCTCATAGGTTTTGAGGTATCTGCTTGTAACTTGTAACCCTCGGTCCTTTTGCCCCTTTTCTTTGGAGAGCAGAAAGAGGAGAGAGCTGCTCCTGAGACGACCTTTTATAAAGAAGTGGAACCGTGAAATAAACAAGGAGTTATGTTAAAGAGGTTTTTTTTTTTTTTTTTTAACAGGCGTTGAGACACATTGATTTGCATTCCTAAATCAGATGGCTGAGGGTTCCCCCAGTGTTTGGAAAACCTAAGTCACTATACAGATAAAGAAACAGGAACTGGAGAGGCGAAACATCCCCACCCCAGCCCTGGTATTTTAAGCACATGATGTTGCTAGATGCAATATTTTTTTTCCAGGAATATGTGTGTCATAGTATAGCAGAAGTGCCTGTATTTAACTCAATATCATTTAATCGATCCCTGGGTCGGAAAGATGCTCTGGAGAAGGGCACTCACTTCAGTATTCTTGCCTGGAGAACCCCATGGACAGAAGAGCCTGGCAGGCTGAGGCCATAGGTTTGCACAGCCACAGCAACTTGGCACAGCACGGCATGCTAGGCACTGCTCTAGAAGCTGGGACTGGGATGGTGAGCAGAAGATAGAACTCATTCCTTCGTCCATGGAGGAGATATCTAAGTGATAGGAAATAATCGACAGATTTATAAATATCCACGAAGATCAGACCCTTGAATGAATGTACAGAGATTTTGTACCATGTACGTGGTGCATGTAACAGGAATCCGACTCTTGAGAGAAAGCAGCATTGAGCTTTCTTTCCTGTAGGCTGCACCATGGGAGTGTGAAGCAGGTATAGTGTGTGTGGGGGTGCTGAGGGGGCAGCTGGAGCACTGTGGGTTGGGCTGCAAAACCCTGGGAGCAGCACAGATAGGCTCCACTATAAGAGGAAGAAGCCCTGAGAAAAACATGAGCGTGGGGCGACTGTAGAACCAATCCAAGGTAGAGCAGTGAGCTGAGGAGAGAGAATCGTAGGTGTCACTATCCCTGTTTATTATTTATGGCCATGGAGGCTCAGAGAGGGTGAGTAATTTAACAGATGTCACACAGCAAAACCCAAGTTTCACTTGCAAAGTTTTTTTTTTTTTTTTAAACAGCAAGAGCAGGAATGCAGTCATCACTAAAAATTTCTGTAAGAGAAATACTTTGGAAGAATGTTATCACTTGGGAGTCACACACCAAAGGTGATTTGTTTGTGATCACATGCATTTAACCAACTAAGTGTGCTAAATTCTGCATTTAGGCAGGAGCTTTAGGGAAAGAAATCATTATCAGTCCAGATCACTCTCAGGAGATCTCCATTTCTTTTTAAAAACAACCTAATTTACTTAAAACGCACACAGACCTCTGTTTAGAGTGAAATTGACATTTGTGTCACTTTCATCAGTTTCAAGTAATTCAGCCTAAGTGGTGTGTTGTTTTCCTCTCTGCTTATGTATACCATTTAAATCCCTACCTAGGTCAGCTCTCACCAGGAGAAGCTTCTACAGTGACGGAAATGCCATCCACTAGGTTGGCCGTCAGCACATGTGGCCACTGAGCTTTTGGAAATGTGTCTAGTCTGACTGAGAAACAGTTTTCAACTTAATCTAATTTTAATTAATTTGAATTTTAACAGCTGCATGGCTGTTGCCAATGGCTATTATAGATTACCTCTCAAAAGTGTTTTTAAAACAATTCTTTTTCAGAAACTCTTAGGAGACTCTGAATCTGCCAGAAGAAATTAATGGAGTTGGGTCTGGCCAGATATGTTCCTCTCTAGTGGGTAATTTCAGTAACTGGAGATGATTGGCAGTCGTATGCAAATCCACTTCTCAGGGTACCCTTCCTTGATTGACATTTAAGTGTCAGACGGGCTTTGTTTTTCTGTCTTGTCACTTTTCAATCTGTAGTGACTAAAAATCCTGCTTTCAATTTCTTAGTCTACTTTTTCCCCTTGTAGTTGTGAGACCCAGTGAACATCTGAATGTATTATGAAAGAACTTGTGTTTCCAAAAACATGGCAGAGTAGAAGGATTTGAGCTCACTTCCTCTCAGGAAATCACAAAACTCACACCTAAGTGCTGAACAGCCATCGACCAAAAAGACTGGAGCCTACCCCAAATGATATTTTATATTCAAAGAGAAAAAAGAAGCCACACGAGACGGTAGGAGGGGTGCTTTCATAGCACAGTCAAATCCTCTGTCCACCAGGTGGGCAGCCCATAGATTGGAAAAGAATGAAATCACAGCGGTTCTCTCACAAGATCGGGTCCTGAGCCCCACGTCACGCTCCCCAGCATGAAGGCCCAGCCCTGAGAGGAGGGACCCCAGAGCATCTGGCCTTGGAGGTCAGCGGGGCTTGAGTACAGGACTGGGCGAGACAGAGTCCACTCTTGGAGGGCACAGACAGGGTTTTGTACACACTGGGAGCCAGCCCAGAGTAGTCAACTCAATAGGAGCTGGGGCTGGACCTATGGGTCCTGGAGGATCTCCTGTGGAGACAGGGGTTGGCCGTGGCCCATTGGGGGAGGGGTAAGGACAGTGGTGGCAGCCATTTTTGCATCAAGACCCGGCTCTAACCAACAGCCTACGGCTCCAGTGCTGGAATGCCTCAGACGGAACAATCCGCAGGAACACAGCCCCACCCAGAGGTCACCTGGTCCTTGTGTTAGTCGCTTAGTTGTCCGACTCTTTGTAAGTCCATGGACTGTAGCCCGCCAAGGTTAGAGTTGCTCTGTCCATGGGATTCTCCAGGCAACAATGCTGGAGTGGGTGGCCATTCCCTTGTCCAGGGGATCTTCATGACCCAGGGATGGAACCCCAGTCTCCTGAACTGCAGGCAGATGCTTCACCGTCTCAGCCACACAGCCACCTCTAAAGACACCCCTTGACACATTCCTGACCAATGCCAGACCACCTGACCTGCCTCCTGAGAAACCTGTATGCAGATCAAGAAGCAACAGTTAGAACCAGACATGGAACAACAGACTGGTTCCCAACTGGGAAAGGAGCATGTCAAGACTTTATATTGTCACCCTGCTTATTTAACTTCTATCAGGGGGCATCATGTGAAATACTAGGCTGGATGAACCACAAGCTGGAATCTAGATTGCTGGGAGAAATGTCAATAACCTCAAGATATGCAGATGATACCACACTTATGGCAGAAAGCAAGGAGGAACTAAACAGCCTGTTGATGAAAGTGAAAGAGGAGACTGAAAAAGCTGGCTTAAAACTCAGCATTCAAAAAACGAAGATCATGGCATCTGGTCCCATCACTTCATGGCAAAGAGATGGGGAAACAATGGAAACAGTAACAGACTTTATTGTCTTTGGCTCCAAAATCACTGCAGATGGTGACTGCAGCCATGAAATTAAGACACTCACTCCTTGGAAGAAAAGCTATGACTAACCTAGACAGCATATTAAAAAGCAGAGACATCACTTTGCTAACAAAGGTCCACATAGTCAAAGCTATGGTTTTTCCAGCAGTCATGTATGGATGTGAGAGTTGGACTATAAAGAAAGCTGAGCACTAAAGAACTGATACTTTTAAACTGTAGTGCTAGAGAAGACTCCTGAGAGTCCCTTGGACTTCAAGGAGATGCAGCCAGTCCATCCTAAAGGAGATCAGTCCTGGGTGTTCATTGGAAGGACTGATGTTGAAGCTGAAGCTCCAGTACTTTGGCCACCTGATGCGAAGAACTGACTCATTGGGAAAGACCCTGATGCTGGGAAAGATTGAAGGCAGGAGGAGAAGGGGATGCCAGAGGATGCCATGCAATGATGAGTTGGATGGCATCCCTGACCTGATGGACATGGAAGCCTGGCGTGCTGCCGTCCACGGGGTCACAAAGAGTCGCACACAACTGAACTGAACTGAACTGACAAGATCCTGGCCACCTGAATGACAAGACCCAGCTCCTGGTGGGCAGGCACCAGTCCCAGCCACAAGGAAACCTGCATAAACCTCAGGACCAATGTCAGCCACTAGAGGGCAGACATGTGAAGCAAGAGAAGCTACGATCCTGAGGCCTGAAGCTAAGGAAAGAGACGGCAAACGAAATTCAGTTAGTAGAAGGAAAGAAATAGATCAGAGCAGAAGTAGATTTTTTCCATTATTCATCTCTAACTAAAAGCTTTTTAAGAATGTAAACAAGATTGATAAATGTTGGCCAGACTCATCAAGAATAAAAGGGAGAGAACTCAAATCAATAAAATCAGTAATGAAAAAGAAGTTAAACTGACACCACAGAAATATAAAGGATCTTAAAAGACTACTACAAACAACTATATGCCATGGACAACCTAGAAGAAATGGCTAAATTCTTAGAAAGGTACAACCTTCCAAGACTGAACCAGGAAGAAATAGAACAGACCTGTTCAATTTCAGGTGCTTAAGTTGAAACTGATTAAAAATCTTCCAACAAATAAAAGTTCAGGACCAGATGACTTCACAGGCAAACTATCAAATATTTAGAGAGGAGTTAACACCAATCCTTCTGAAATTCTTCCAAAAAATTGCAGAGGAAGGAACCCTAATGTGTATTGCAGCACTGTTTACAATAGCCAAGACACGGAAGCAACCTAAATGTCCATCAAGAGATGAATGGATAAAGAAGATGTGGTGTATATATATATATATATATATACACACACACACAGTTGGTCGCCTGGAGAATCCCCATGGACAGAGGAGCCTGGTGGACTATAGTCCACAGGGTTGCAGAGAGTCAGACATGACGAGCGACTAAGCACATTACTCAACCATAAAGAGGATGGAATAATGCCATTTGCAGTGACATGGATAGACCTAGAGATTGTCATACCAACTGAAATAAGCCAGACGAAGGCAAATACCATATCACCCACATGTGGAATCTGATTTTTAAAAAATGATACAAATGAACTCATGGACCTATTATGAAGTCGAAATAGACTTACAGATACTGAAAACACACTTATGGTTACCAGAGGGGAAATGAGGGGGTATGGAGGATAAATCAGGGGCTTGGGGTTAACATACACACACTACTATATATAAGATAGGTAACCAACCAGGACCTGCTGTATGGCACAAGGAACTCTACACAATATTCTCTGATAAGCTATATAAGGACAGAATAAGAATGAATATATGTATAACTGAATCACTTTTTCACACATTTGAAACTAACACATTGTAAATCAACTATAATACAATTAAAGAAGAAAAAGAATGAAATTGTCTTCGTTCAGGCTTCTATGACTAAATTCTATAGGCTGGGTGACTTAAACAACAGACTGTTTTTTGTTTTTTTTTTTGTTTCCTTTGCAGTGGTGGAAGTTGGGAAGGTCAAGATCAAGGTGCCAGCAGATTTGGTTTCCAATGAGAGCTCTTTCAGGCTTGCAGAAGTCTGCCTTCTTGCTGTGTCCTCACATAGCAGAGAGAGACTGATGGAGGCAGGGACAGATAAAAAGATGAGTTGAGGGACAGTGAGAAGGACAGGGAGATAGCTAGCTCACACTCTGATTTCCCGTTATTTTCTAATAAACGCACTAATACTGTCCTGGGGACCCCACCCTCATGGCCTCTTCTAAACCAAATCACTCCTAAGGCTACTTCTTCCAATACCATCACATTGAAAATCAGGGTTTCAATGTATGTATTCGAGGAGGACAGAAATATTTAGTCTAGAGCAGAACACTTCCCTGAAACCATTTTCAAAAGCAAAATCTACGTTGTCTTAACGCTTACTAAATTCAGTGTATAAGAATGTTAGAATTTGTGTAGGAGTTTTTGTAGGTAGCAGACTCTTTGAGAGTAGAACTATGCCCTATTCATCTGTATATCTGGATACCTACTTTAGTGCTAGAACACTATATAAATGTTAACTGAGTTTTTCCATAATAAAAAAAGATGAAGGTTTCTTTAACACTGGAGAGAAGTATGGAGTGACAGAATAGGTTACTAAATCTTCCTGGGAGGTTGAAAAGAAAATTTTTAACCGCTTGAATTCCAGAATATTTGATTGTAATCTAACATAACTGCTCCAGGGTAGATTTGACCACATGTAAATGATTCCAGCAAAAGGCAAAAACAAAGTCTGTTTTATGAGAGCAGCTTTGGAAGCTGGAATTCCCCACGCCTTGGATGTGCCTATGAGAATCCCAGTCTATAGTTGCAGAGCTGTTTTTCACACTCAATAATGTCCTGGTTTAAATAGTAAATCAGATGACCACTCACCTGTGGCTGTTCACCCCTCTGCTGGCTAAATTGCTACTACTTTGTCTGTACTGGTCTTTTCCATTCCCAAAAGAAGGGGTGTAGTCTTTGTCTTTTTGTAGATCCCAGTTTAATCCTTCCTACATTCTAGGTGGGCTTCCTAGGTGGCTCAGTGGTAAAGAATCCCCTGTGATGTAGGAGATGTGGGTTTGATTCCTGGGTCAGGAAGATCCCTGGAGGAGGAAATGGCAACCCACTCCAGTATTCTTGCCTGAAAAACTCCATGGACAGAGGAGCCCGGTGGGCTACAGTCCCTGGGGTCACAAGGATGACTGACCAGCGGCGTGCGCACACACTCAGTACATACTTACTGAAATAAGAAAAGGTATGCTTGCTTCTGCTGGAGCTCTTGACTATTCTGTAGACCTGACCTTATGATCACAGAAGCTGGGGAATGAGATGTAAATACCCCTTAACATTATTTTCTTCTACTCTTCAAAAAGCACTGGAGAAATTCTAAGTTCAGTTTTTCCAAAGGAATATATAGCAATCATATAAAAGCTGTTCCTAATTACTTCATTCATTGATGTGTACAGATTTACTGAATATCTATACTGTGCCCAGTACCACACTTAGGCTGTAAGTCCACAAACCTCAAAAGCAAAATATGTCCTAGTTTGGATGAAAATTATTGAGTCATGGGGTAGGCTTTTGAAATCTGGACTCTTGGGGCTCATAATGTCTACAAGAACCCTTGACACTTAGTGGAGCACATTGGCTAAAGTGTCAGTTGCTTTTGTGTTTGGGAATATAGGGTAAGGCTTGAATTTGAATTCCATGCACCCTTATACTTTTAATATGGTGAGTTTCTAGCTGTGGGGTTAATGCTCTTGATCTGCTTATAACATCAGTGGGATAGTACCATGTGTCTGTCTGCAGATAGGCTGGTTGGTTTGCTCTGCCCAGCTCTGAGGTTTTGGTCCATCCTTGGCCCACTCACCCACTGTAGGGAGTTATCTATGGAGTAGATCAAGGCAAGCCCGAGGGTGGTCAGGTCTGCCGGTGCCAAAGGATGATGTAATTGCTTCATGTGACATTTCCCTTGTATATCCTCATTTGAAATACAGTGTGTATGTTTCTTCTTAGGTCTATGTACTTTTACTTACACATCATCAGTCTCCTGATCATTCTATTCCTGCCAATCAAATCACAAGCTCATAATCAAAGGCGGCCTCAGACTCTGAACTCTGTTAATAAGAAAAAAATGGATTGATACCTCCACCAAAAAAAAAAAAAAATGCTGAACACTTAAGAATGCAAATCATTGGACAAAGACTCCAGAGTTCTCCAGTGACTTAGAGGCGATGTTTACATGCATTTTTTTTTCTTGTTTTTGTTTTTTACGTGCAGGGAGTATTTTTGTAAGCCTTTTTGTACCATTAAATCAGCCATGCCCAGTTGATTTAATATAGGACATTTGAGTGGCATGGAGGTATGTGGAGAAAGTGCCAGAACTTGCAGAGACAGTGCATTCTGGGCATCTGGGTTTTTGTTTCTCTGGCATGATCTCCAGCCCCTGAAATCTGAATATTGGGAACCTGAGTGTCTGCTCCTAAAGTGAGAAGGGGAAGCTGAGACGACTCGTCTTCCAGAATACACCCAAGATGGCTGTGCCTTGGGAAGACCCCAGTCCTTTGACTGGTGACATTACTGTTCTCAAAACACATTAACTACACTCAGAAGACTTCCGGGGAGAGACCGTGTGAAGGGAGGTCGGCAGAATACTGAGAACTCGATGAGCCAAGATCACCAACCGTGAACGGACACCTGTATGGACTTGAAGTCAGGCACGTGCCCTGAGGGCGGCTGTGTCCCCCCCCCACACCCTCCCCCCAACCAACGAGGGATGTAACCCTTCTTTTTTCTGCAATGAGCCAAGATTGAAAATCAGAAAGTCTCCTGTCCAGGTACAAAGAGGTCTCAGAGGGGTTACTGTTCCCCATTGCACAAGTACATGCCTTCCACTTGCCCACACGTGGTCCTGAGAAAACACCCAAATTTCACACTATGAAGGCAGGAGGATACCTTTTTATAATTTGTTAAAAAATAAAGTTACACTGAAATTTGGGAAGAAGAGGCAGACATTTCTCTTCTCTTCCCTCACATCTTGGGAGTGTTCATGATCATGGCCATGGTGTTCACCTGGGCTGGTTTCCATTTTTCAGTTTCATAGCTGATTAAATTTGACATTATTTGAGTTGAATCATCCTGCCTGAAAGCGGAAATTGAAAAACGGTTTTCTTTCCTGTCTTTGTCATGAATGTGCTGTGGCTCCTTTGGTAAACTTCTATGGGGTGATATTCTACGTGGGAAAAGGAAATGTGGTATTAAATGCTATGGAAAATAACAATAATGACAATAAAACATGCTATCATGTTGTATTTTCAATCAAAAACCTTGGGAGGAGAGGACTTGCTCAAATAAGAGAGTAAAAAGTTAGTTTCTTACTAAATGAATACTGTGTTTCTATATAAAGGAAATATTTCTGAAAAGCTTGCTTATTGTATCAGTAGCATCTTGCCATTCTGAAGCACGTGTGTGCATTGTGTGTGTGTGTGTGTGTTAACAAATGTGTACAAACTTAAAGGTCTTACTTGCTTAAAATTTGAGCATGGTGTGCTCAATCTATACTCTATGTCAGGCGCTTGGATGGTTTTGGTTTTTGGTTGGATTTCTGATCTTCATCCCCCTAAGTGCAGATAGGATTAACTTCCTTTTACAGATGAGGAAAGAGAGTCAGGAAGATGGTTGCTAACTGCCCCACAGTCACAGACTTCCTGGTTGAGCTAAGATTGGAATTCACGGTGGTCCCAGGAAGGCTGCTGGCCATGGGATCTTCCCATGCTGGTGCTTCTCTTTGGACAATGAAACGTGAAATGATGTTCTTGTCCCTTAAAGAGTCAGGGTGGCCCTGTGCTGCTCAGAACCTAAGCTCTAGTCCTGACGTGAGACAGTGGAAGTTAAGAAGTAGCACATTTGGGCCAGGGTAGGAGGCTCACCCCAATTTAATCAGGTAACCTTCTGGGACTTCCCTGTGGCTCAGATGGTAAAGAATCCGCCTGCGATGCAGGAGACCCGGGTTTGGTCCCTGGATCAGGAAGATCCCCTGGAGAAGGAAATGGCAACCCACCCCAGTATTCTTGCCTGGAGAATCCCATGCACAGAGGAGCCTGGTGGGCTACAGTGGGGTCGCAAAGAGTCGGACATGACTGAGTGACTAACACTTCTTTCATCTTCTGGCAACCCTTCTTAGCGTCCTGAAAGGAATCTTAGTGGATGCAGGGGGAAAAGGTAGGTGCCTAACATCTGTCAGAGTCTGCCTCCAGCAGGAATATTTTGAGGTACAAGACCAAAATACATAATCTTGTACACTAGCAAAAATGGTGTATATCACCATTGGCATGGAGTGTGTAGAATATAATCCATCTTACAATGAAATCCTTGAACTTGCAACATGATTTGTGTCTGGATTTCACTGTATTTTAAGTGTCTTCATTTCTGAGAGAAAAACTTTGGTGGCGAGAGGAGAGTTTATCATCGCTCTGCTTTGCAGGGACTCTGCCAGCCCCCGAGTCCTGGGCAAGTGGGGACCACTGGCCCCTTAAGTGACCATCAGAATCAACTATGCATTATGGAACAAAGTCAAGCCTATGGAGTCTAGGCTTACAGATCGCCTGTGTCAGACAGTGCTAGGCCCTGGGGCACACTTTTGATACTATGAGGCTTTACTCAGTAATAAAAGGATAACACATTGAAGTGTGCTGCAGTCCTTGGAATCGCAGAAAGTCAGGCATGATGGAGTAACTTAACAAAGAGTTTCGAGTTATCCTAAATGTATTATACATTTAATAAATATGTGTTGAGTTGATGAGCTTTAGGTTTAAAAGAAATAGGTTTTTTTTTTTTAAAGGCCAGATCTAGTCATCAGTGAAATGAGAATGAAAACCACAGTGAGATAATCAACCTCTTGCTAGTCAGAACGGCTGTCATCAAAAAGAACACAAATAACAAATGTTGGTAAGAACTGAAGATAAGGGAGCCCTCATATACCATTGGTAGGAACGTAAATTGGAGAAGCTTCTATGGAAAACAGTATGAAGATTCCTCTAAAGACTGAAACTAAAACTACCATATGATCTAATAATTCCAGTCCTGGATATATATTCAAAAAAACGCCAAAATGCTAATTCAAAAAGAAACATGCAATCCTTTGTTCCTAGCAACCTTACGTATAATTGCTAAGGTATGGTAGCAAACTAAGTGTCCATTATCAGATGAATGGATAGAGAAGATACAGTGTACACACACACATATAGAATATGCATACACAATGGAATACTACTCAGCCATAAAAAAGAACGAAAAATTTTGCCATTTGTCGTACCGTGGAGGGACTTGGCATTATGTGAAGTGAAATAAGTCAGAGAAGGATAAATACTGAATGATATCCCTTATATGTGGAACCTAAAAAATACAACAAGCTAGTGAATAAAACAGAAAAGCAGCTGACTCACAGATACAGAGAACAGACTAGTGATTACCAGTGAGGAGAGGGAAGGGAGAGTCAACACAAGAATAGGGTGGAAAAGGGGTTATTATGGGATTATATGAAGTCATGTGTGTGAAACTTTTGAAAATTATAAAACTTTAAAGAATCTTTCAGTTAAAAACAATTTTTTAAGGTTACCGTACAGAAAATAAACTTTAGTCAGTAGTTGCAAAGACTCAATGTTTCAGCCTGAGATTTTGACAGGCTAAGAGAGAAAAAGGCAGAAATTGGGAGAAGAAAAGAGGAATTGGTGGGTGGTCCCAGAACAGGTGTGGATGTGCCCCCTGGACTGTGCAGGCTGAGGCAGAGGGCCCTTCTCCACACTGGCCACTCATTACAACCACAATAGTAAGTTTATAAAGAAGTGATCGATGCCCAGCTTTATGAGAGACTGTATCTTATTTCTCTTCTTGTCTCCAGACCTTGGCATAATGCCTGGCATGTAATGAAGATTCAGTAAGTGTTTGTTGAATGAAAGAAGGATTGAATGCATTAGTTTAATGCATCATTGGGTTTGACAGTTTTGATGGAGTCACTTTTGTGCTGGGAAACATCTTTTATACTTTTCAGAATTAGTTTTTGAAATAAGGGCATGTGTTTTCAGGGAATTCTGGAAGCACATTATGTGAAATAATCACTCAGGTAGGCAGTATACATAGTCTGAACCCACCATCACCACCTCCCACCATCCATTAACTAATGCGTTTGCTTATTTATCAAATGTCAGGTCTGGCCACATAAAGGATGCAGGTAAAAGACGCTGAAGACCCATTCTCTGCCCTCGAAGAGCTCACAGTGGGACCAGAAAGACAAGATCCAGAGCATGTGCTGCAGGTTGGAGGGATCCCAGCATTCTGAATGGCACAGTGACTGGTGCTGTGTCCTTGTTTTCCTGTAAGTTCGGAGCCACCTCATCTCTTGGTGCCTGAAGGTTACCCAGGAGAGCAACATCACCACTCAGCGGCCTCTTGTCTGGGTGAAGTGAAGCCTGCCCTTGTTCTGAAACTAGATGCTGCCTTTGCAACAAACCAGTACCAGTTATTGCAGTGACGGCCCAAAGGAGCAGACTGTGCGTTCCCAGTAGCCCACAGACGTAGTGGGGTGGCTAATCCAGCCCCCAACCCCGAAAGATCTTTAGTGAAAGTTCCAGGCTGAGTGAGTGAGGTGATGAGGCCCAGGAGGAAGGGTGTTTGCTGAGAGAAGGCTCAGCCCACCTGAGCTTTGTCTAATCCTTAAACTTATGTTAGGCTAGGAGCTCCAGGAATGATTGCAAGCTGCCACCCCTGCCACCCGCCCCCCCAGGCTCCAGGAGAGGAGCTCCTGCTGACCCCATCACATGCTCTGCGGGCATGCATGAGCTACCCCTGCCTCCGAGAACCCCAGGACAGGGGACCAGTTGCCTCATCTGCATAGCTCCTATTCAAGGGGAAGATGACCAGCATATGCCAAGAAAAGAGGAGGCAAGCATCCCCACTAAAAACAGCCCTTGCACCAAATATATGAAACCCTCACAAGCTACATAGGGGCATTCCCACATATAAATAGCTTTCTAAGACCACAGTAGATAATTGTTTCTCCTAAACTCACAGAGTAAGAGAAATATAAGCAAAATGAAGAAACAGAAGAGCCACTCCCAGCTGAAAGACCAAGAGAATTCCCCTGAA